TTGTCTTGACATTTTTATCGCATCTTTTTTTTTTTGCTGACAAAGCGAGACCTTTTAGAATTTAAAAATATCTTCGGTCGACAACGTATTGCGCGTTTTTGATATAAAATATTGTTACTTTTTCATGCATTTATTTTTTTTTACACCAACATATTTTAACGGACCATACGTTACGACAGCATTTTGTTGTTTTGGAATGTAAACATATTTCAACTAGATTTTAAAAGTATTTTAGTTTTCTAGAAAAAAAGCTGTTTTACAATTAAGGAAAAATATACACGTACACCAAATAACTCTTCAAAGTCGTCAATTATTCATTAAAAATACATTATTCATACGACTCGGACAATTTTTTATGAAAGTCAATAAAAAGTCGTTTAAGATTGCTTAAATTTTGCTGCAACAAAACGAATTCAAACTAGAGCATAGCTTTGGTCAATTATAGCGCGTTATTGACGTTGTTACTATTAAAATGTTTTTAATTGTTGTTTTTTAGCATTTATATTATTTCATATCGAAACACGACAGCTCAATTATTGAATATAAAATTATCTTTACACCCGTACCGCTTTAGCGATTGATTGTTTTATGAAAAACACAACGAAAACCTGTAGATTTAATCGGTATAAATCTAATTTTTGAAAGTTTTTTAGCAGGTGGACTTGTGTTGCTGTGCAAAGGTATCTTGCTAGGACACAATATTCGTGTGCGCTGTCAACCGTAACGACACCCAATCGAATCGCTTTGAACGCTCGTCACGGTCCGCGTGGACACGAGTCGTGTCTGTGTTGCGAACACTTTACGGGCTTAAAGCTTGAAATAAATGAGTTTAAGAAAAAAGAATATAAGATTTTTTGTTTGTTGTTCATTCGAGAATTTGTTCGAGCTCTGCCGGCCAACGGGCTGGACGGAAACGGAGGAATTTATTACCGAAAGGAGATTACAACGTCCTACACAAAAGCATCGGAAAACGGTTTAACGTTTAAACAACTGGTGAATTGGCTTACCGAATAAAGTTCTTCCCTCTTCTACAGGTATTGTGTTTTGTATATTGACAAACCTCAAGCTGCGCGTTAATTATATATATTTATATATAATATTGTTCAGCGTCTCGACAGTAAAGCGGCTATAAAAGCTCCTAGTCCTTTTTGCTCGGACAAAAAAATCAGATTGACGGCCAAGGGTGAGCGAGTTAATGATTATTGTTTAACTTGTTTTTAATTAAGTAAACAAAAATGTATTAAGTTAATTATAAGTATTTACATGTATTTTCGTTTATTTATACCTTAGTCTGTGTAATTTTCCCAATTACATCCAATTGATGATTGATTACGCAAATAAGAAATCCCTAAAATTTTTATTTACTCAAATTAGATCATCTTCCTAGTACTTTCTGGTGAACTGTTTTGTTCTGCGTTTGATTAACATGATAAATTAAAATTTGTATTATTCCAACAAATAAACTAATACAAATTCTTACATTTTAAAAATAAATGCTTAAAGATGAAATGTGATATTATTGAAAATCCCACTCTTGATACTTTGAAATGAAACATTTTTTTCAAGTTACCGTCCATTGAAATGTGTTATATATACATATAATATAATAATTAATTTTTAAATAAAGCATAATTAATAATCACTTTAAATTGACGGATAAAAGCAATGGACACGATTAATCATAGTGGTTATTGTTATGACTAATATGGCCAATCACTGTGATATTCAAAAGCAGGGGGATCAAGATATATTACCTTGTTAATATCTATTACAATTATTGTTAAAGTTGTCGCCAATATCATATCACAGTTTTGCGCAACCGTCAAGCCTTCCAAACGTAACCAGAATAATTTAATCATATATGGTTAAATTATGTTGAAACGAGTTGTCGAAAATGTAATGGTCGATCATAACCAGTTAACTAGACTGTACATCCTACTCAAGAACGCATTATATAATCCACATAAACGGTATTATTATATACCTACATTCTTTTTCAGGACGCTATTTCGTTAGAAATTGGTTTCACGATAATATTTCCTTCGAGGCACCTATCAATCAGTATCGGACGAGCTCTGGCATGTCCATGGACCGTATATCACCGACATCTTAGCCGACTCATCGTGTCCTTGGGCGTATCCCACGCCCTTAGGTGTAATGGCTAGATAACATATATTAAACGGATACCGGACAACCCTGACATAGACCACGCTCGCAATGGAAGATAAAGGAAAACGTTTTCTCTCCTACGCAAAGTGCAATATAATAATATATAAAGACTAGAGTACGACAATCTAGAATCCTATTACAAAAGAAAAAAATGTAGTGGTTATCTACAACTACAGTCGTACACATCCAGTATATGATATCCACAATAGCTGGTTATTGTTATACTATTATGTTTATTTAGATGGTTACTTTAATGACTTGGTTTTTTTTTTAACTCACTATACATATCATTAATTTCAACTAACTCACTTGAAATACCACAAAAACAGTATATCATTTTTAATAATGTGCAAATAAAATTTAACTACTAAAAGATGCATATAATATCAACTAAATAGTTTAAAATAAAAATCCATAATTTTGATGAGAATTTAAAAATCAAATTTGCAATTGCAAATTGTCGAAAAACCCATTAAAAACCCGATAATTTAATTTTAAAAAAATTATAAGGACCTTCTGTAAATGATAATTATAAATTGGAAAAAATAATTTAAAAAAATATATGTTTACAGTGTAAATAATCATTTTCTCAACTATCTAGATATACAAGAAAAATACTAAAACTTTCAAGTTACCAGTATGTCTTAGTCTTGAGTCAAATGAAATAAGACTCATACATTTTTTTTTCTGAAAAAAATGGTTTAAAACTAATTTGAAAAATTTGGATGCTGTATGTATATGTATATTCTTAAAAACTCTCTAGTTTTAAATTTGTTTATGACAAGAAGGAATAATCTGTTTTTTTTAGAAATGTCTAAATGTTCCAGACAGTTTTCCAAAATTTTAATCCATAGCCTTAATCAATATGGGCACTATTTGATATTATATAATATCATCTATAAAAGTCACCTCTTTTATAAAAGACTTGTAAATGTTTTTGGGTATACATAAAACAAATGTCTAAAAAATAAGAGTCTCTTTACATTTTTAACAAAGTGGTACTACAAGTAATCCGATAAAAATAATGAAAGCAAACAAATATTTTGTTTAATACTAAGGTTTTTATTAAACTGGATTTACAAAATAGCTGTTTTTCGATTATGAAACAAGAACGAATCATATACTATTTCAATAGCTAATAAAATATGATATAAATATAATTGCATTTAGTAGAAATGAAAAACTTCTGGTTAACCATTAAATAAAACACGAACAATGTTTCTAATTAATTAAACGCCGACATTTTATTATACCAACACACACTCCAAGGCACTGCAATGGGATGTTTAGAAAATTGATGAATCCAGCATCATTTGTTTTCATACACGATTAGATCCAGTCGATTTAAATGAACGTAGTACAAAAACCAAAAACGATTAATCAATTTACGCATAACTGCGTTCAATCAGTTCTTCGTCGATTTCGATTGTTGCTTTTTTTTTTTTTAATGTTTTATTGAAAAAAAAGAATTCTAAAAAAAAAAAATTGTCTCACAACGTGTATACGAACAGTTTATTTATTGAATTAAACACAATTGATTCGTTTAATGCACTTATTATTATCAAATAAATAATCAAAATGATTTTTTACACGTGAAACGAGTTGGTTTCATAAATTGACCGGTCGATAAGCTATTTGCACCGAATTTAAATTTGTTTTCTTTTTTGGCGTTTTTCCAATTACTAAACAAAAGAATATTGCATTCGCCAATTTTCTAGCAAGTTTAGGTAAAAGTTTTTTCAATATTAAACTTGGCACGGTGTTTCGCATCAAACGCATCCGTACACAGATTTGCCTGGCCTGTTTTCCGCCAGGGTATTTTTCTTAAGATTCAGTTTTTTATCGTTCTCCAATTTTACATATGTGTAAACTATATTGTGGAAACGCTATAACCCAAATAGGTAGATGACAGCAATGAGATATCCAACATAAACATAATTATATTTTGTAGGCACTTTTGATGTTTATCAATACACTTGTATCGCTCATCCGTTAGAATAATACATGAAGACAAATCGCTCTTCAAAAGTGTCACCACTTTACAAACTTTTTTCATTATAACACTTAGATAATATTATGTTTGCTCGCTAAACAAACCGTGTCAGGTATATAGTGATATAATTTTATTTCTGGCGATTAAGGGCGAATAGTTTTCCCGTAACGCTTGAGGTAGTAAAAACCTTTTTTATTTTCTAACAAAAACTAGTAAAATCATTACAATACACGTGTATGAATTATAGCGGGTGCTAAACGAGGGTGGTAAAATCCTTTATGACAAAATTACAACTTCTAAGATTACTAATTAGCTTCTACTACTGCCCAGAGTTGGTCAAGTCCAAAATTTGAAACATTTCAGGGTTAATAATTATTTCCGGTTTAACTGTTGGCGCATACTCGAAATTCCTCGTGCAAAGGCAGTATTTTCATCTTGTAACCTAGTCATCTTTGGGAGGCGTCCGCGTACAAGTGAAACGCGATTTGTTCGACTTGCAGAGCGGTTTTATATTTTTTTCCAACGTTGACAAAACGGCTGACGGCGTCGTGACACCGTGACAAACGGCGAGAAATGCAAATAAACGCAGCTATCGACTTACAGACAAATCTGCGAGCGACACAATATAGTACATTATTAGGTATGTATATCGGTTGAAATTCAAACTGGGAACGGCGGTGATTCACTACGCAATACGCCATTCGTCAGTTGTCTTATTAGGGAATTCAGTGTTCGAGATTGGTTCGCGCGAATGGAACCGATAGTCGATCACAGAACACTCTGTGTACAATATGTACACTTGACAAGAAATAATACGATTCAAGTTAAGCGGACTTACTTGACGTGTGCTTGTTGCTCGCTACCGAGTTCATGATGTCGAAGCGAACGGCAAGACTTAGGTCGGGTTTGTCCGCGTTGGCTTTAGCTCGGCGACCGATCGCCCGGCCGGACAGCAGATCGTGAACCGCGCTCTTGAATTGCCTGCAAAAATAAAAAATGGTGATAAAAAAAAAAGCAATCAAATTGGGGTAGAGACGTGTAGCTCCGTTGCTGTAGGAATGCTGAGCAAAAACATTATCGCATTATCGCAAACACTGTGACACCGCGAAAATCTGTATAATCTAGTCACGCGTTGCACGTTGTGTTTTTTTATTATTATTATGGAACCATTTTTTAATATGACATTACAATGGTGCGAGCCTATAGTGTGTCTCTCCGTCCCTATCGTAGCTTTTGTGCAGTCGCCCGCGGAGGACGGTGTGAACGGTAGTCGTTAACTTGGTAGGTCGCAGTTTTAATTAAAAGGATTAGTAGACAACCTAACGGTGGAATAAAGTTTGTGGGGAAAAACCCGCTAAATTGTTCAGGGGAATTGAGAAAGTTGTCGCCCCTTGTGGTTACACGATCGTCACGAGAAATCATAGCAAAATTATTTTCAAATGCCTTACCGTTTAAAAAATAATTAACGGTTCTCGCGAAATAGTATTACGCTGTGGTCGACTCTGAATCGATTGATGTGTACATAGTACAAAAAAAAAATAGAAGTAAAACCTACATTTTTCTTGGACCTATTCCAAATCGATAAATGAACCCATAGTATACCATTTAGGTCTTAAGATTACCTTGAGAATATATTCGAAGAAATATTGTTCTATTGTACTAATGAAATAATATCGTGGCAAACAATCCATTTTTTTTTCAAAAACTGCCATTAAGGCTGAAGATCGAAAACAAATCATCCACAATCATAATTGCGTGCTTCGACTACCCGAATTCAAGTATAGTGGAATTCGATTGTACACATAAACGACATAATATAATGATTGTATATTTTCGTTTGGAGTTTTTGATAAAATAATTGAAATCTGACGGTGTTTACAATCGATTGACGAAATCCTTTGTAATAGAATATAATAATTATTATTATTTACTTCGTTTTTTCCATTAAAAAAAAAAATAATAATAATAACATCTTTAATGTACCAAACGGTTTTTGAGAAAAAGTTTTTACGAGATTTGTTTTTAGTGCATTTATTTTGAGAATAAACGAGGCGTGCAAAACAGAGAAACTTGTTTCTATATTAACCATAGCATATAATTCACTGGTATATCATTAAAGATCAGTAGTAGTGATATATTACATTTTTATTATATAGCAACAAACTCAACTCTTTGACATAATATGCGACAAAGTCCTTTAGACCAGCATCAGCGAAATTGTATAGAGACCAGAAGGATCAAAAGGCAAAAAAAAAAGTTTTTTTCGTAAACATGACGTCATGGCGTGTGTTCTCTTTTTTTATAAACGTTGAAAGTCTCCATGGGGTATGATATATTATTATTAATACTGTTACCACATTGTTGCAATACAAGATTAATTAAAAAAAATACCAAGAAAATATCTTTGACTTTTTCCCGGATGAGTTGAAAATACTTTATTCTCGTGTTTAAATTTAACTGTCAAGATTTGAACATTGTAATGTATAAAGTTTTTATTTGTTTTAAATTCGGTCAAGAGTATTGTAGAGTTAAGTAAATTAAAAATGTTTTGAAAATTAATACTATTGAGTCTTATATTAACGGCGAACGGGAAAAGAGAGATGTGTTAAAATAGAACACAACTGTTTGGAGCAATTCATTGGATTAAATAAGTACTTATATATATGTTTTTTTTATAATTACAATTTTTATTTTTGCGGTTTTTTCGTGGACAATCCAAATGGTTTAGAGTATACGATGTTTTTTAAACGATTCGGTGTTATTTTTTAGACTACAATGAGCCCATGACTTTTAAGTAAACATGAATTTAAAAAATCTAAAATTTCAGAAAAACCCGTTTTCTAACCAATTAAAGTTCGTTTAAGCCAATGAGTTTCCAAAATAAAAAATATTCGTTAAAAGTAATAAAGAGCAATACTAAACAAATTAACTCTCAAATACATATTTGGATTTTTAACCTATCGTTTTAAAATCATTTTTCTGCTCTCACTAATATTACACACACAAAAAAATCCATTTATTTGATAACGCCTTTCTTAGATTCGAAAACATATTCGGCATATTTTCGTCGCGATTACTTTTTGAAGTGATTTATGCTAAAACTTTACATTACATTACAGTAACAGCTATTGTTTAAGCCCAAGGAGTATGGGGAATTCATCAAAGCCTCTTAAACTCAAGCGATAAATGACTACTTGACGATGCGCTAAAAACATCACCCGCCTAAACGGATTTGTCGAACCGGTAAAATTAGATTATGGCAAAGTTCGTGCATAAAGTTTCAGATGAAATTTCACAACTGAAATATCGAATCCCAACCTGCCGTTTATCAACAATCGTTTTAGCATCAAACTTGCTGAAAATAATAACATATTTTATTGGCAACGACATTGCCAAATAGAATAGAATATTTTTAGTGACGTTGGCGTGTCGGTACTGCGGCGCACACGGTCATGTTGCAAAACAATGTTTTTCATATTATACAAAAAATAATAATCGGACCGGATAAATCACATGGTGGACGGATAATAGATCATCAACGTTTGACGTGCACGCTATATCCTTATATTCTTGTTCCACTAACGCCGCAGTATTCTCATATAACCTATAATTTTCGTTATTGCTATTATTATTTTGTTATTTTTGTTTGGAGAAATACTTTTTACATGCAGAACCCGATGCCGGTCGAGTACAATACACGCCGCCGAATTGGAGAATCCCATGCGGACCCATAGCTGTAAAACGATCTGACCCACGTTTTCTCGTTTTCTACGAAAAAGAACTTATTACATAATATTGAAAGAAAAACAACGACCGTACAAAATGATAACAACGTAGGTACGGACAACCATAACGTATAATAATATTATATCCGTCCCGGTACACGGTTTTCATTTACCATTCCAAAAACAAATCATCGACATTCGGTAAGTTTATTTGTTTTTGTTTTTTCCACATAATATATTGTACTTATTTCCCTATTCGATTTCAATCGAGCACCACACAATGGACCGACCCAGCGTGTAAAATGTTTAGCTAAGATTTCGCCCAAGCAATTACCCGCATAACCGTTAATGTGCCTATCCGTCTTCATTAACATCGCATCGTACAGTAGGTATATTATATAAATCACTCAGGCAATATTTGAACACATTGTATCACGGTTCCATTTCAATTACACCAATTATTTCGCAGCTGCGGTGTAAATATCATATTTTTGTATCGAAAAACGCACAACAACAGCAGCAGCTATACAATAATACAATGTAGGTGTTATGACGTGTATATACATAACATATTGTGTTATATAATAATATACGTTTGGCTGTATAATTTCGGGAAACTTTGATAAATAGACGTACAACGGCAAGTCTGTGTTTATAACGTAATCAATTATAATTAAAATTAATGGACGAAACGATGGATTCATCACCGCGATATTGTTTAAGAGTGCTCGAAAGTAGGTAGCACACAACAGTTCCAGTTTGGCCAACAGCCAAAAATCTAAATTCGGTTACAAACACACAGTACACGTGCGTAGGTAGCCGACGGTATGGAAAAGCAATTAAGCTCATATTGTCAGATATTCGAGGCAATATAGCGTGCAAAAACGCGCTCTCTCTTCTTTTGCTTCTAAGAAAACTACCAATAACGACTTCAATATAATTTACCTTTACTAAAACGCCATTATATTACATCTTGTCGAGTTGTCAATCAATCGCGTTGATGTATTTGTTTATCGGCCAATTCAATTATTATGAGTCTTATAACCTTGGAGCGCTCGCGTGGCGGCCTTTGCACCACTCTCAATCTTAGATGGGAACATTTTGTAGATTTTTTGTAGCATTTTCCTTTGAGTTTTTTTTTCGTCACTTGAAAATACCAGTCGGTCCTACAAGGCTGACTTGACGCATGGTGGGGGTTGTTTTAAGCTGCGAGCGCCTGTAGGAAATGTTATTAATTTGTCGGACAGGAGTTCAGAAGTATGTACATGACAAATTCTAGATAAAAAATAAAAAATACGTTCTTTCGATCAATTCATTGCAGCCCCACTTTTCAAAAACTAGCCAAACGATACAGTATATAATTTCGTTCGCCATAAAATTAATCGAACGCCCGAAACGGTGTCTGTTATTATTTCACCCTAATGCGATTGAAACCGAAACGATGGCGTCGGACTTAATTGCCCTAACAATATATTGTTTTTGCTCCATTTCAGTTGAACGATCTTATATTTTATTTTAATCAATTGTATTAGACCTTACTATTTATGTGCGTGACTGGGTAAATGAGGGGCACGACAAACAACGGGGTTTGTGTATTTATTCGTTAACTAGTCTGCTGGAAATTGAATACTAGACAAAAATAATTTATAATATGTTTTAATTCTTACCTCGAAACAGCAAACGAGAAGATTCGGTGTCACACCATTGTCTAACGTGATACGCCAGTATATCCTATACACAATATTTAAATAATCTCTTATTGGTGGTAACTTATAGGGTTAAGGTTTTTTTTTCTAAAATACATACTATAATACTAGCTTATTGCAATACAAATAGGACATTATATTTTTTCCATGATTCGTCAACCTAATTTCATACCCCAAAATAATAAAAATAAAAACCTATTGCGGTAAAGTACAAAAATTCCAAGTTCGTGTATATTAAGTACAACAATATAGATCAATCAAATTCATTGTGATGATATTATTAACTAGTTGATAAATGATGATATTATGAACAACGTTAACACGTGATCCGTCTCTGTGTTTATCTCTAAACTACCAGCAATTTCCGCAATTCTACCGAAAACTGATTCCCAAGAGTACTTATGAGATTGGATTGGTCATTTTAATTTTCAAACGGTACACATAAACAATTAAATATTCGATCAAGTTGGCCTTTTCCAGTGAAGGTTTTTGGTCCATCGAGTTGAAAATATATTTTTTTTTTGTGTAGCTTATCATAAATTACTAGAATTTAGATCACATTAAAAAAAATTAAAACTTGTTTATGCGTGGTTTAGTAAATATATTTGCAAATTGTTTAACCTATATCAGCTGTTTCTTACCAGTGATCAGTTTGAGTAACAGTTTACCATGGTTTTGCAATAAAAAAATTGAAAACTAATGACCATCAGCTTGGCTAAAACAAGGCCAAAATGGATTAGTTAAAATATTCGCCTCTGGAATATATATCTATAAAATAATTTTACTTTATAATATTGTAAAAACCATGTGCACTTGAAAAAGCATACTTAGCCATAGCATTTTTCGAGCTGGTTCTGACATCAAAACGTATACCTTTCCACTACAAAACGTTAAAAACGGTTTATGAACGACTTAAAACTTCAACGACGATTCACGGTGTAGATTTATAATTTAAAAACGTTTCACAGACAGGATTTAAGCCATAAGTGCGCAATTCCGGCTACTGAATACTTGTTACTAATTATTTTGAAACATTAAGTGTTTAAAAGCCATTCTCGAGTTCTGCGACTTTTATGGAAATGAGAAATTAAAAATTCAAGTTTTTTACAAGTTCTCGTAATTTTAATTCCGCACTATTTGGCAAACATCTAGATTCTAAACCATTTAATATACAATACATACCATAGAAGTAAATTGATGGATCTACTTTGTTTATTATAACGTCATTTACCTGTCAACCCGTTGGCATTGACAGTCAAATCAATTTTGATGATTTCAAGTAATTATCAATAAGACTTAGAAAATATAATTAGTAATTACTAATCTATAATCAGATATAGTGTTAATTCAGATGTTGTTCTTTTATTCGATCTATGTAATTAATCTTGTTTATTTGTTTTCCCTCACAATTTTCACTGTTTCTGTAATGTACAAAATTATTTTTCATATCATATTTTCCATTCACTCCGTAAGTCGTCATAATAATAATTATTCTTCTTTGCCTAGTTCTACTAGTTTGTATTTAATAAAACGTTTTATCATGGGAAATCGGCTTATAAGAGAGAACATTGTAACGTTAAGAATGATGATCATCGTTAACCGTTAACATCGTATAAATGTAAAATCAACAACAGAAAATAAGACAACTTTTAATTTACTTTTTAACCGGACAGTGTTTGTGCGAATCTCAACATCGTTCATTTTTCGACGACTTGTCTCGATTAATCATTTACCGATGTCGCCTCGCACTAGTACCTATACAAGGTTAGGGCCACTGACTCCATAAACAATACAACTACAACAAGTACAAATAATAAAAGGCGTAATGCGCGTATTACTTTTGTCGTGTACACTCGGCAGTGACAGACGAAAGAGAAAGGAAACCCGGTTAAAAGCTGCCGCGACACAACTTAAAACATTAATCATGTGAACAACACCGACCTGGACCATTAGCGCGGTGTCGGTTTCTTGCACGTCTCACTGGGATGAACTCACTCGGTTGAGCGCCTCCACAAAACTAATAAGAAAAACTATTCGGTCGTTATCACAGACCGCGAGCGAGCCCGTTAAAAGACTTTACAAATAATGAAGAAGCTCGCGAGACGTTTAATAGCCTTTGCTGTGGTGCAGGTCACTGCACATTCTAAACGCGGAAGGGCCGGACGATTTCTGTATCGAGCATGTGTACAGGTCATGTTATCAATGTGATGTTATATTATGTTTTTATAATGTATTTACACGATAACAATATTATTAGCGACCAAAACCTATTCGTGTGCAAAATAGTTAATAACGACCACGGTAGTTTATAACCCGTCTTAACCAGGTCATTGCGTGTGAAGACAACGCGACAATTTTCACTCGATTTCGAGCTAACCTAAAGATTGTACTTTTAGATTCTATCGACAAACAAACTACCTAATTGTCTCTCTGATAGAATTTTTCGAAACAGCACTGAATGCTACGACACGGAATATACTTGAAAGTCGAATGCGACTTCATTATAAATATTGTCATAGCTTATAATAGAAAGTGTTGACAGAGCTGACATTATAAAACGGAACCGTCAAATTATTTTCCGAGAGAATGACACGCAAACTTGGCAAATGTTTAGCTGAGTAAATTTTCTTGAAATAAATAAAATTTGATGTTGTCCTTTATAATCATCAAAATTAATTAAGATAACAATTTCAATTTTATCGAATTCCTGGTATTAACTGTTATTAATATTTTTATTATTATATCTATGTTTTTTATATATGTAACCTTGGCATTAAAAATAAATTCTAATTTTTATATTGCAAATTTAATCACAGTCACCTTTTTATTGTTATATCACCGAAACAGTTATTGTATAATTAAAAATCATACAGTGCGTGATGGGATGTATTAATAAAAGTACTTTTGTGTAGGTATTTTTTAGTTTTTTTAAAGTTAACATTTTTGGGCTTAGTGTTTTCATAAATTACCATTTCGTAAATTACTTATTAAATGTATTCATCTGTTTACTACAATATAATGTGACAGAAATAGTTTTTCTTTGTTCTCAACTTTTTGTTTATCATCCTAGGTCAGCCTAAATATAAAATATGTTTTTAAACTAATTGTGGTTTTCTTATTTGTAAAATGTGTATAGGGTTTCCCATGAGAACCGTTCATAACTACATCAAATCATGTTTATAACATTTTCGGCTTCATTTAGACATGATTGCCTTGCCAAGCTTTGCTTGAGGCTTTTTCTATTTTATTACTACATCTCTATTTATAGTTTACGCTACACTCCCTTAATTTCTACCTACCCCTTGACCATTGTTTCTATCTCGAAAATTTATTGTTTCTTCTTTTTTCCTTTCGTTGCTTCAACTATAGCTGTTCTCTGTTATACAAAAACAAAGAAACTATTATGTCAATCATAGTATATATTATATACTTGATGATCAAATGAATGTGCACCCATACGAATGGTCGTTCAAAAACTTACACAGCTTGAAAGTATGGTATCCACTTGGAGGAGCCAAAAAAAAAGTTGCATACAAAGTTAAACGAAATATAGATTAAGTACAAGCTGTGTCAAGTGAATTTTCTGATGAGAATAATTATTGTATTAATTTACATTGCACTCACGAGGGTCATTCGTCATGGCGGCGGCGGCGAGTGTGGTTTGGGAGGAACCAAACGGCTGGCGGGAATAGCACTATAGCAAACTTAAGTGGGTCGATAGGAACATAATATTAACAATACTGATTAATGTTTAGTGAGGGAAATTATATTGCAGCATTTTATCTAGAAAAAACGACTTAGATAGTTTCGAAAATTCCACAAGGACATAAAAATACCTTTGATAGTGGAATTTTCGCCCAAACGAAACGTCACGACCGTTGTTAGTACCAAACATTATCTCAAATTGTCCAGCATATTATAATATGACTTGCTTGGATATAATGTGTGCCCACTGCCCATTGACCTCATTTTATTATTACAAAAATGTGTATTATTATTTGGAATTCTATAAGTATTTTTACTACTAGGTATATGGTGTTTTATTCTATAATATAGTTACTCATGACTCATAAATAAAATACGTATTACTTAAAATGGTCATGTTTACAAATTTATCAGAGCCAATAAAACCTTCGTTTGCTTTCCCAGAAAAGTGATAATGACGATAATTACAAAAGAAACATGGGGGATAGAATTTTTTAGGTTGTCTTGGCTATAATATTTCACACTGCTATTTCACAATATGAAAATACGTGGAATACTTTTCGTTCCATCTTCAACAGTGTGTATTAAATTCTGAAACGTCGTTATCCAAAAATCTTCTTAACGAATAGTATTATACTGCTGCGTGGTGATGATGTGTTATAATGGTCATAATAATATTACATCTTGTTACAGCCTGTCGTTCTACTACTGTTATAAAATATGGACTACGCGAGTTGGGTCATCTAGAGCATATTGCGTTATGGCTATCGCTCACAGGTACCCAGCTGTTTATATTACTATATTATTTTCTCTAACGTCGGAAGAGTTATTTCAAAAACGTGCAAACGTTCCATTTGTACGGGGGGCATTGTACATTGGAAAAAAAAACAAATTGCTGCCTCTAAAGGTAATGGTGGCTATTGGTCCGCTCCGGCGGGTTTGGATAGGCCAGACGCGGTTTTTGTCCGTACAAATTGCCAGCAACAACGATATAATATATATATGTGTAATAGAGAACATGCGGTGCTCACTTGTACAAATCGGCCGGGAACTCTTCACCCCTCAAGACGTCAACGCACGCATCCGTGACTCTTGCCACTTTGGGAGTCCATCCTTCGCACCTGGCCGCCATCGCGTCCTTAATGCAGTCGGCGAACGCCCGGACCGCGGCCCTGATGGTGTGCTTTTCGGTTTCCAGAGGCACCGGCCGCAACGACAGCATGCCCACCGGCACGTTGCCCTTCTTGTACTTGCCCGTCGAGTTGTTCGTGTTGCCCACGTCCAGCCAAACCCACGCTATGTTGCCGGCCGGCAGCAGCCCGACCGCGGTGGCCTGACGCCAAACCGACTGCGCCATCGCCCGGTCGCCGGCCACCACGACAACGGACGCGTCCGAGGTCGACAGCTCCATCATTGACCTGCAACGATAAATCATAGAAAAACCCATAAATATCATGGACTAAACCATAACTGTCCGTAAAATAGCAGCCTCCTACTAGTAGACAAACAGACGACTATAAGGTAAAACGCGTTCCATTTAGGTATTGAGTTCAGTGGATCGGCCCCATTGCAGTTTGGGGCAAATCGTAATCTGATCAATGATCAACAATTACGATCACTAGGCAGTAATTTTAGAAAAAAATTGTTTGTTCTCCTTTTAACAATATGCTCTGTTGAGTAAAATAAAAAATTCTAATTTTTTTAAGTAACATTAGCAGCGCTTTTATGTACACATTTAATTTTTACAAGTTCCTAAGTTTCACATGAAAATTATTAGCAAAAAAAAAATGGAACAAATTATGACCATAAAGTTGATTTTAAAAGAATGAATATTGGCAGAGATACAGACATTCAAAATATAAAAATGTTAATATGGGTAATTGATGTAAGTAAGCTAAGTAAAAGGATTGTTTTATCACCTTTCATCTTATTTTATATATTACAATTTATCTAATTAAATATTTTATTAATACATTGTATTTTACACGGAACCTTTAATATGACGCTTATAACTTATTGTATACTATAAGGAACTTTTGTAAATAAATTAAAATTTTATCTGTACAATATGAATTGACAACTTATTTATGACTGTTGGGAGCGACCATAGCTTACAATTTGTAGATATTTGATATGATTCGATACAAAATTATCTTATTTTTATTATGAAACCATAAATTAATACTAGTATGTTGTTATAACCTTACCTGAATGCCGTCGAATCCGGGGTGTCTGTTGAGATAGGTATTGATGTGTAACTCAAAGGAGATTTTCCAAGCATCGTTTGTACATCCGACGTTATGGTCAACGAATGCAAAACGTAAAACTTGTGCCATTTTGTATGAAGCAAAAATGATCTTAAGGCTGCAAATATTTCCCAAGGCGTAATGGTAGCTCGGACCACAAAATCACTCCAATTTTCCTAAAAATAAAAACATTAGACTATAATAATAAAATGTAATAACTAGAACGGTCTTATGATATAACATTTAAACTCGGTATCTATTTACCGAGTCAAAAATGAACCATTTTGGACCTAAAGAAGTTAACATTTTCTGTTAAACCGCTATAGCTATTACTAGTTTACGGGAATCGCATGTTTTTTTTATTCTTGAGCTAATACAAATTGAACTGAAAAATGTTGATAAGACCGAAATCTAATTAAGCTAATCTGTCATTAAATATTATCTATACATTTCTCCAACCTACTATTAATCTCCTTGAAAATAGACGAGATGAAAATTCCACATATTCTTATTTTTACAATATTTCAATTCTATTTAACATTCAATTACTCGCTTGTATGTATGTTTCATTAGAATAATATATCAACTATAGAGTTTAAAACATGAATATTATTTTCAATTTTCGTAAGACCCTGTTTTGTTTTTGTAATGCTTGGATTTATTTAGCAGTAAAAAAAGTTACTAAATAAATCAACATTTCATATTTAGTTTAAAAAATGCAGTTTTAAATTTTTTTTTTTAATAGAATTTTCCATAAATGTCATTCAAAGCTCATAAAATATAACAAACGTCACTTTAATATCTAAATAACGTAGCATTTCAAAACACCCATTAATATTCATTTTCCAGGAAAAATATGACGCATTTATGGGGCTATCAATTATGCTGCTCCCTGCTAACTTTCATTTTTAATGTTACTTACACAAGTTTTAGCGTGTTATCATAAAATAATGTTTTAAAAATAAAAACAAAACAGAATAATAAAAATAATAAACTTATATACCTAGTTTGTTTACAGCTACATTCTACGAATGAGAATAACGTTGACCACGTCTTGGATCTATTTTTTTTTTTATTAGTAATGGTTATATATTAAGTTCCAAAAATTGTATAGATCAGAACATTACATTTTTTTTTTCAGAAATATGTAATGAAAAGGAATTTATTTAAAAAGAAAGCAAAAAATTAAGGATATATTAAGTGTGATAAACTAGTAGGTCAAATTTCAAATTAACTAAAGTTATTATTACAATTTCACAGAGCTACACGTGTCAAATATTATTTGTGAAGGTATTCAGTTTAGATAGTTTTAGTTTTTTGTTGTTCGATGGATGGAAAAAAAACCTTTTCAAAATAAATCAATCTAGCCCATATTGTTGAAAATAACCGCTTGTTTTAAAAGCCACACGCTTATTTTAAAGTTTAACGATATTTTTTTGATTTAATTTTGAAAACATATTGCGGACCTGCTTGAGCGTCACGTTTGGTCCTAAACGTTCTGTTTTCCCTCATAAATCACACCAAACGTGTGACGGATAAGTTGAATTACAAATGTGTTGCAATTAACCAATCATCGTTTTTTATATTTGTAAATGTATATGTATATTTTTTCTTAATTTTCCATCCAAATATTTGCGTAAACAAAACCCCTGACCCAAAAAAAAATAGAATAAATCAGATACTTGCCAATTTTTCATACCGAATCTATTAACGGCACAAAATACATCAATCATGTTTGGAAAATAGACTTGTAATTGCTAATTTTTTTATTTTTCCAAAAAAACCGATTTAAAAATTTCTAATTAAAGGTGATAATTAGAATTTTTTATAAAACTGTCTGTAATCGTTATATCAATAACTAAAATAACGTAAGACATTTTTTCACTTTGCCGTCGTTGGGAAAGAAATAATGTTGAACATTTATATGTGTATCTTTTATTTTTGGTCAGTTACATGTTATAAAGAAAAAAACGTTTAACGTTTAAAAGGTTTCGAACAAAAGAAAATCAGACATTGTTAAAAGTTTAATAACGTTAAACGAAAATAATATATAAATGTGTAATAGCTCATCATCATGGAGCTTAATAGACTCAGAACAAAGGCCCAACACTGCCATCGTGAGATGGTTTCTTAACTCTGCTAACCACGACAGAGGGGGCGGCTCCTGTTTACTTGGCGATTTCTCGTCGGCCAATATGAAATATTAAAACTGAAGAATTTTTTTGTGTTTTATTTGTTCATTTTTTTGTAGTCTAAATTGGACTTAGGCCGAAGCCTGTAGAAAATATCTATATTTCCAAACGACAAAAAAAAAAAATGATCAAAATCCGATTACTCAATAAGACGTCGACGTGGTTTTCGGTAAGTCATTTCTTTTACCAACACAATAGCCGCTAAAACTCAATATATCTAAAAAAAATTTGATACTTTAAAAACGATACCGTAAAAGTATAATGTGAATTACCCTGAAAAGAAATGGACATGATCGGAATGTGAAAATATTACTATCAAATATTGCTTATTCATATTTTGATATTTAATAAAGTTTAGTTTAGGTTGGTTTAAGTTTGTTTTAGGCTGGCTTAGGTTTTGGTTGGTCATGCCCAATTTTTTTTTTTATATTTACGATTTGTGAAATATTCAAATTAAAACTTTTTGAAAATAATCATTTTGACATGAGTATGTCTTATGGTTAGGGGTCATTCTGAAAATGTTTTCATCACGTTTTGTGTCATAGTGCTGACGCCATTATGGATTAAGGAAGAAGAGTATAGAGGGATTATGGAAGGATTATTTATCTAATATAACAAAAAAAAAGGATGGAGTGTTGAGTTATTTCTATATGTGTACATTACATAACTCATTACATCAACTACACCTGCAGTCTTAAATTTCGAACTTGAATAACATTATAACCATTTATTCAAAATTGACTATTGACCAGTTAGCTAAACTTCAGAATTGCATCTATTTTAAGAGAGAATGTATATAAGTCGGTTCTCGTCAGCTGTCTTGAGACGTTTATTTAATAAAAATTAACACATTTCAGTAGATATATTAGCAACGCCGCTATGGTGGTAAGTGTATGCCGAGTGATTTATTAAAAATCGAATTATTGGGGTTTTTCTTTCTTAACACCTAAAGGCGATTATAGTCGACCAGAGCGGCGGTACACTTAGCGCAACACATGCGGTAAGAACATAATAATATTATGTGGCCAACTCGGCACAAGGGGGAAACACTTGACATTCCGTCTGGAGTTTTCTTACCGTGTAAACGCCGGTAGGTGCTGTATGATATTATTATATTATTTCTTCGAGTGGTTTACACGGTGACGAAATTCAGGTGTTGCCGGGACTTTGATGGTAAACAGCATTCCCCCCCCCTCTTCCCGCTCTTGATGGCCTTTTAAAGTTGAGACAGATAGCTATTAAAAAGACCTAGTCGCAAAGTTATCAGTGTATGGGCGCATGTAAAACGCGCACAGCTAACATATTATGGTGAAAATAACATGTTTTGGATATTTTGTTTTTACAACGCGTCTTACGTGCACATCCAGACAACAATATAATATTATAGTATTCTTAAGACTGTGATAATTCGAAAAAAATCGTGTCGACGTTGCCGGTCGCAGTGATATAATGACGGTGATAATTATTATGATTATTGCGTTTATGTTTCGAAATTGGGCGCCAAAACTAAAATCGGACTCTGACCGGTCACACTACTTATTATGTAGACATTTTGAGGGGAAAAAATGAAAAAAAATTCGCCTGTCGCCAACTAATTTTGGAATAATTGAGTTAAATTAAAAAAATAAACACCAGTACCTCAATAAACTACAGCACCGACTAAAACGACCAAAGGGCACCGGTCTCACTACTTTTCGGTTTACCCAAGGCGGTTGTGAATCACAACACGTGTTGGCAATATAGTAACGTTTACCGAAACCGGAGACCTCCGGCAAGACGTTTGACGGATTGACTTGTAAGTATACCGTCTTGAAAAATAATTGACTTGAGCGACGATTGACGGCGGATGAGCACACCGCGGCACACGTGATCCAATAATACATAATATATTTTGTCAGCCAGACACCGCGCAGACTTGTATAATATAGACCTATGTATATATTTCCAAGTATATAAATACTTGCACAAGACCGGTGACGAGTTAACGTATACATCAGTACACAAAAAAAAATCACAACGTCGTCGTGTCGGCGATGATAGCGTATAATTCTCTAAGCAATATTTCCTTATAATAATATTACTATGACGTACCTATCTTAAGACAATCTTAAGATCATGGGCCGTCGCGTACTACCGCACAGCTGGAAGAATATTGTGACACACACTGCAAAAGCAATTACTCTGGGTAAACAACGATTTAAAAAGTAGTAGTAACAAATTGAGTTTCTTTTGCTTGGAGTTGTTTTCTACTCAAATTTTTAATATAAACAGGACAAGATGTTTTTTAATGTACGATTTTAGTACTAACCTAACCGCCACCACGTGGTACAGGTAGGGTTAAGTGGAACGAATGTAAAAGCGTTTTTTTCAAATGTCGTAAAAGTATTGAGTTGAAGTTAAAAGTAATTGTCGACGGTATCTAAAAATAGCTTCACTACATATGTTCTGTTGTATAACGGTATTATTAAAAACGATCCGATAACATGCGGTATTACTAAAAAATATATTTGCATAAAAAACAAACCAGTAAACATGTGAAATACAAAATCATTTTACAATATTATATAGTTTGTGTTGCAAGTTGTATAAGACGGGTTACGCACCAAGGCTGTGGTGTACAGCTGCTTGGAGTATATACAATTAGTTTATACAATAATAATATAAGTTATGCGAAAATTGTTAATGTATGATAACATTATATGATATGTGAAAGTTTCAAATGAATAACGATATAAATTACAATGACACTGACGATTATCCACACTAGAAACAGCGACAGAAATACCATGATAGTCAGTAGTTTCAGTAACAGTGCATAAGAAGTCAATATAAGTAGCAAAGGTGCAATAGCCGTGAGTAAGAGAACCAGTATTACAATACTAGCAAAAAGCAGCACGATAGCTACTGCACTGACTACAGCTGCGTAACGCACCTTTGCGAATAGGCCTTTGCCTATTTCCTGGATGCCAGTCAGAAAGGTCGTT